CCATGATAGCCTCAGGGCATAATTGTAGAAATGGTAACAAAGAGAGAGCCAGGAAAAGGGAGGGAGGGAAGAAGGGGGAGAGAGAGAGAGAGAGAGAGAGAGAGAGAGAGAGAGAGAGAGAGAGAGTTCGCTCTTCAATTTATAATTCTGCAACTTTAAATTCCAAGACATTTACAAAATGCTAAGAAAGACAGAACAGAATAAAACATTCAAGGATAACTTTATTGTATGTGAAATCAGTTTTCTAAAGCCTGAACGTTTAGACGGTTGACTGAGCAGTTTTCCACACTGTGTTTGTTTATTCAATTCCCATTCATTCCCAACCCACTGGAATTGGTCTTCTAGCCCAACCTGACAATGAAGCTATTTTTGCCAGGATCTCTAATGAACTCTTCCTTTCTCGTTCATCCTGGGAACATTTGAGGGTTTGGACTCACCTTCTCTTGAGTCTCTCCCTCACTCCCATGACAAACCCTCTCTGGATTTTGTTTTTCACTTGCTCTTCTGCTCAGTGTCCTTGGAGTCACCTTTTCTACTGCTTCTGTGCAACATTTTAATCTTCCTTTTGATTCTGACTTCTGTCCTTTGTCATTCTACACATCTGGGTGATCTTATTCAAACTCAAAACTTCTATCCTCTGTACACTGATCATTCCCACTTTTGCATCTTTATTCTAGATTTTCTCCAAATCCTTAGACCCTTAAATACTGTACATACTATTTCTCCTTGTGTACTTTATATGCACATCAAACTCAATATGCTTACTACTGAACAAATATATATATATTTGTGTGTGTGTGTGTGTGTGCGCGTGTGCACATTCTCACTAGTGCTGTCATTTATTCAGTTGTTTAAGTGAGAAACCGAGATTTGCTGGCTTTGCCCCCCCCTTAGTGTCCACATTCTAACTGCCTTCTCTTCATCCTCACCTTCCTCTCCCTAGACCTGCTCCCTTCTTTTGTCCTTCTCCCCCAACTTCTCTCCTCCACTTTCTTCTTCCCCTTCTTTCCAGTCCTCCTCCTTTTATTCTTCTATAGAAGATGCCATTGCATTTAGCTTCCCCTTGAACTCCAGCCCTTGCTTCCCTGCCCTGCTCCTTTATACAACACTCACAACAAAGGCTACTACTTGGTGAGTTTTATTTGCAAAATCAATGTTTGCATTTTGCCATTGACTTTTGTGAATGTAGGCAAACTACTAAAACTCCATTTGCTTCAATTTCCTCTTCTGTAAAATGGGACTAAGAATAGCACCCAAGCAACAAATGTGAGAATTTGTGAAAAGACTCAGAGCAGTGCCTGGCACAGGGCAAACATTACACGAGTATAAACTTTATATATATTTCTCAACTGTCGTTGTTTTCTATTATTGTCTACTATTATTAGAATGTCTATTATCTATCTCCATTTTTCCTTACTAGAGATTTTTTTAAATGTTCATTTTGAAGTAATATTTAAGGTAGGTAGTCATCTGAAAAAAGTAAGCAAGTTTTCATAGGCAAAGTTTTAATAATTAAAAACTTTATAATTCCCTCTAAAAATTGAGTTTAATTTTCTAGGAAGGAGTAAAGATGTTTGTGGGGGAAAAGTGTTTGTGGAAAAACATCCTTAAGATTTGCAACAACTAGTGTTGGTCTAGCTCTAAAATATTTAGGAAATTTTGTGACTTAGTTCAAGTTTTGGTAATGTGGCTTAAAATTTAGAACAGTGTGAGGCTTTAAATCATGGAAATTGGGTAAATGTTACAAATCAGGGCCCAATTAGCAGCATATCCCTGTATAATTTTGCTAAAGACCAGGATCGTTATGAAGTTTGATGTAATAAGGACTAGCTTACTGTGAATTTTAATGTAGCAGGATGGTAAATTGCACCTGAAAGATTTAACAATTACTATACAAATTAGAAGTCAGTGTAATAATGACCCTGTAACCTGGGTATTAGTAACATCATTCAACATCAAAAGAGGTCCCTTTCTCTATTTTGTACTTGTTTCTTTGTGTGTTAGGGATCAAATGCTTTTGTTAAACAATCTTAAAAAGTGAAAGAAAATCGATCCTTTCACAATCAAAACAAAAGACTATATAAAAGAAAAATCTCTCCCCCCCCAATTTTAGAAGCAAGTGAGGACAACTTCATAATTTTGAGTAATTTTTTAGTTGTCCCTGTAATATCCCAATGGGAAGAAAATAGTATGAGAAAAATATCTTTCTAGGCCCTAGATTATTGTTATGAGAAAGATAACTCCCCTGTTGGAAAACTGTCTCATAAAATGCTCAACTGAGCGCTTGCCTTTTTTTTTTTTCACTTACCTAATGAAGAAACCACATGTAAGATCTTTCTGAAACTGACTAGTTCACCAGTTCCACTTCCTGTTGTGAAGAGTAAGATATATCTTCAACACACTGAAGTTCTCAAGATTGTTTTCATTCTCTGATGTCAACCCATGTAGGTTTCCAACTCATATATCAAGTGAAAATGAAACTCCCTGTAATTCGTTATTTCTATAAAATGCAGCCTGTTTCTGGTCGGGGAAAAGAGTTTGAATGGTTACCCAGATTGTAAAATAATCTGCTTTAAGAGAAGAGCTATCAGAGGAGAGTTGACTCAATGACTAAACTCCCCAGCCCCCCCTTTCAAACAGTCTGAATAAAATCCTTTCTCGATGTTGGGTGAGCACACCGTGTGAGGTATTGTCCTATTTTATCCAGCCTAGGCACAAGAATTTAGCATAGACCAACGGCTGGTCTTGGGCGAGACTGAGACAAAGACTACAGTTTGATTTGGTGGTGTCTCTAGAAACAGCCCAAACAAGTTCATAAGCAATGGGTGGAGGAGATTTATGGGGTCCCTCCCAGATCCTATAGCTGTCCTCTCCTGACTTCTCTCTCTCTTTCTTCTTAAAGCTGTTCTTTTTCTATGAGCTCTATTTGTAATTCAATGGTGGCCTGTCAGTCTGGGGCCAGAACTCTCTAGGAATGCCTCTGCCCTTGTGTCCCTATTGCCCTGCTTCTTACTTTGTGTTGAGTACTCCTTGGAGTCGTCTGGGCCTTCGTTTTCTGAAATCATTCCCATTATCTGAATTTACTTTCTCCCTTGCCTTTAGTCCTGGCTCTCAGATACATTTTAGCTGTCCACATAATGCACGTATTTGGACTAAAATATTTTGTTAATAGATACTATTGGTTTTCCTGATCTCAGGTAACTGCATATGAAAAAGGCCCAGGAAACCATCCGAGGGAATGGAGGGGTTTTAGACAGGATGCAGGTCAATGTGGGAGATATTCTGTGATATTCTGTGAAGTGGGGCTGAGACTAGGACCTTCCTGTGACAACATGCTGAAAGTTGAGTTATGTGTCATGACTGCGGCATGTCTATTCTTGCCTAAATTTGGGACAGTTATTGTCTTTGGTATGTCCTTTTCTTCACAAGGATGATTAATTTCTTTGGGGATAAATTTTCATTCTAACATTTGTAAAATAAAAAGTCAGTTCAGGATTTTCCAGGAAATATAATTTAAGCACGTTAACTTCATCATTGTTGCTGAAAGAAATACAAGTCCTACTTATCTTAAAAAATTACTCTCAAATTTCTGTTTTTAGATGTGAAGTAACTGTTTATATTTATAATCATATAATGTTTTTTAGTTTTCAGAATATTTTCACATACAGTCTTGTTAAATATTTATGAGATCTATCGGATTAGAATTATTATTAGTATCTTGATTCTACAAATGAGGAAGTGGTTTCCAAGTGGCAAATAAACACTTTTCTGGGTAGCACAGCTGCTAATTATGACAGCCATGAATGGATTTCAGGCCTCTGGGTTGAAAAAGCCCATCCTAATTCTTCTATGTCATATTCCCTCTTTAAATGTATCGTACAACCATATACGATAGCTATTGCGTCAGCAGTTAGATATGCAGGTGCATCTGGGATGACGTTACAAAATGTTGTAATAAGGTTGATTCCCAACTTTTAGAACTGCTTTTCAATTATGTACAATTTTTTCAAGTTCTCTGCTTGTTAGCTTAACAAGTCTGTCGTTTAAATCTGAGTAAATTCAGCTTAGATATCGTGGAGAAAAAAATGAAACTTTTAAATCTAAAACGTCTCTCCTCCTATATACCTACATACACCCACACCCACACCCACACCCACTCACACAAAGAGGGCCATTTGAAAACATTTTTTTTTGTGTTTTCTCTTTTTTCTGACAATCTGATTTTACATGAATGCTTAAAATGCATGATGAAAAAGGGATATTTCAGATATTTTGTCTTATGCCTGATTTGAATATTTGCAGAGCCATTATAAAACAGAATTCAGTAATTTATCTTTTATAAAACATGTGAGAACTACTCACAGATGCTGAAGACAGAATAAACAAATTACATTTGGCTGTAAATAAAAATGTCTTGATAAGGAGGCTTGGTGGCTAATTAGATCTCGCCCAAAGAGACTGTGGATTTTCTTTTTCTGGGCTATTTCATTCCTGTGGCTTAGCTATAACCCTGTGTGGTAGCTGGACCATGCATTTATTGGTCTGATGTAAACCTGTAGTGTTGTGAGATTGCAATGCTGATCTTCCAGGTTTATTGAAATCATTGTTATTTAGAAATCACAAGTAAAGAAGCAGGGTATATATATATATTTTTTTCTTCTCTCAAAAAAATAAAAGGGAAATATTTTATTTTTCAAAAAACTTCAGTGAGCAGTGAGTGTCCTAACTGAAGTAGTGAGAAGGCTGCCTGTGGGTGGAAACAGGAAACATCAGTGATAAATGTTGTGTTACGTTTTTTTCCCCCAGGTTCAGCTCAATGTCTATTGATTCTAATTAGCACATTTTGTGCCTCAGCCCCAGCTCCCCTCAGCTCTGCTTGGAGAGTTTTTTTTTAGCTTCATCCTGCTCATAAACACGGCCACCTCCTCCCTCCCTCTCTCTTTACAAATGTTACAACACAATCCGAAATTTCCTCTTTTCTTCCCCTCCTGCGTTTTCAGCAGGTTCCCTTGCGGCAGAAGCCCAGAAAGAAAATTCAAGGTAATTCGATCTCTTCTGTTTTTTTTTTAATTCCCTTTTTGTGTGTGCGAATGCGGGTTTTTCTCTTGGATGCCTTCTTTGGGGTCAGCTTTTTGTCTGTTTTACTGCTAAAATCAGGAGGTGGACGGCACATTAATTTTTGGATCGATGTTCAGAAATGCCAGCAGGCTGTTCATTCAGATTAATCCCTTGGGGTATGTCCGCGGAGCTGAGAAAGCCGGGCACTGAGTGGGAAAGGGCTGTGTTCCGAGGTGGGGATTAACCCTTCGGCGTCGGTGCCTAACCGCTGCTGCCCAGGGTGTCCTGCATGGGTATCCGACAGCCTCAGGGTTTGATTTCTCAACTTCTTCTTGAACAGTGTTCTTAGATGAACACTTGCGTGTGAGTCTCACTGTTCCTTTGATCATGTCTTGTGCCTTCTAAGCATCAAATGAATGTTTAAAAATAAAATAGATAAATTACGGGGTGTTGGGTGTTTTTTGTTTTTTTTTTGCCTTTACTTTGCATAAATCTTGGTTTTAAAAAATCCAACTCCCAGGACGTAAAAAAAAAAAAAAAAGTTCCCTTCCACTTTGTCACAGACATTGGGGTAATATGTGACCATCTTTGCATGCAATTGTTGCAGGTTTTTTCACGATGAGTCGGAGGAGAATATCGTGCAAAGACCTGGGGCATGCTGACTGCCAGGGGTGGCTGTACAAGAAAAAGGAAAAAGGAACTTTTCTGAGCAACAAATGGAAAAAGTTCTGGGTGGTACTGAAGGCATCGTCGCTGTATTGGTACAGCAATCAAATGGTGAGTCCGCACTCTCCCTCCCTCCCCAGCCTCTCTCACCAAGGGTGGGTTCAAGATCCTTGTTCGAGAGACGATCCCTAAGGGAAGGTTGATTTTTATTTCTGGGACTTGGAACAGAGCAAACAAGCTGGTTCTAGAAATCATTTTAGGTCCAAACATATTTAGGTCATGTTACTGTATTTTATGGAAGAGAAAGCCATCCTGCTTGACTTGCTAATCTTTGGTTGGAGAAGGGTGTCCAAATGGACGTGCCTGTTGAAGGAGGCTTTCCGTTCTGTTCGTGTTACTATTTCATGAGATAGCCCAGCGTCTCAGGATTTCCCTGGACGGCCCTGGATGTGGGCAATTTACATTGTTAAGGTCTCCCCAAAAATAAAAAAAAAGGGGACTCAGCTTTCAGACCTATTAGAGGTGTCAGTTGATTTAGTCCGTGGAAGCTATTTCCATTTCTCCTTTTATACTGTCTTTTCCTCTTACCTGCTTGCTTAGAGGGGTTGGTTTTGGAATCACTAATGTGTGCAGCGTTGTGTTGGCGACTGCGTGTTCGGTGATGGCGTTAGACTACCGATGCTTGCACAACACTTGACAAGAGAGTTGTTGAATCTGTCGTGTGGAGGGTGGTCTGCCTCACAGGCTAGTCTTCTGTTAGAAAGGGCTGGGAATCAAGTTATTGTTAGAAAGTGTGCTGATGTCTCCTGGCTTGAAACATTTTGAAAATGATGATAATGCTGAAGATGACATGAGTCGAGACTTTTCCCATAGGAACTCTCTCCACTAACCCCCAAGTAGCCAGTTGCTGATCTCAGCAGAGCTTGAGTTTCGTTTTGGGGTAAAGTGAAGATCAGCAATGGGTGTCCTTCGATCAATGAAGGGAAGGTGATGAATTGCTCATAAGCCAGGAGAATTCTTTTTCTGTGACGCTATTCTTTTAGAGTAACCTGTATGTGTGTGCCCATAGCTCAAGCAACAGAGTATTAGAGCATCTAACTGTAGAAAAGTAAAATACAGGCTGTGTGTAGCTGAATCATGTACATTCCCTGATCACTAATTCAGTGGTTAAACTGGACCCACATCCAAGTCTAGTGTCCCCAGTGCCACTCTCTGCACCCCTCCCCCACCCCGTCCCCAAGCCTATTGCTTTGGTTTCACCCCATGAAAAACGTGCTCTAAAATTCTTCATCAAGTTCTATAAAAACATATTTCCTCAAGCCTTTTGTGAGTTTCAAAAACTTGATCAGAGATTTGGGATGTTCAGAAGAATCACTTTGAAGAACGAGCCGTCTTCCACCATCTCCTTTCTCTCTCTCTCTCTTCTGCCCTCCTGGGTACTTTTATCCTCTTGTCTAGTACAGGAGGGTTTTTCCCAAATTAAGGCATCCTGGAGCTTGAGTCTCACCTTTGATCCTAAGGGATTTTTCCTACATCAATATAGCTTTCTTCTTAAGAGGACTTAAGGTTAATATAAATTTCAGTCTCTTGTTTCATATTATCTTAGGCTCTCGCTTTTGGTTATCTGTGGCAATTGAGAGTCTGTGTCTTTTATAAAATGAAAGGACTTACTTTTTAAAAGTATTTACTTTTTAATAGTTCCGCAGGAATTTCCAGAGGCTGTTGGAAGGATGGGTGCTGATGCAGAATGGTGCATCTGTGGGAAATAACAAAGCTCAGATGTAAACACGGGGTTTGTTTCCTCAATCAAATTATTCTGCAGATATGTTCTGGGTTCTGCCCTTGTCTTTAGAGAATTTAAGGGAAGCCCCCTGTGAACAGCACAAAGTTACAGATTTGGTTTATTCGGCTTCATCAGCTCATTTGGCTTAAGCTTCTCTTAGAGGAGCAATGAATTACTATTTTGGGCGTTGGGAATCTCATGCTTCCACAGGGAGCAGCAGTGTTGCCTGAGAGCAGATTAAAATGAGGAAAAGGAGATAGCATCAGACACACTCAGGCACCCCTGTCCTCCCTTGCAAGTGCATAAAGCAATATTCAGGTAGCAAAGCGATCAGCAACACTGAATGGAGAATAAATGTACTGTTACCTGGCCATGGAATTATCCTATTAAACTAGTGGTAGGCAACAGGAGGACCCTTCCAACGCCATAATTCTGTGACTGTGCTACAGGGGAATATCCTGAGCCCAGGATTGTTGCCATATGCCAACCTGACTGCTTGCAGGGACCATGATAAATGACATGATGAGATCACCTTGTTTTCTGCCTTCAGTAGGGTTCTCAGAGAACAACTCTAGAAATGAAATGTAGGGCAATGCTCATCAGAAAGTACAAGTGCGCTCATGGGATCCCTTTAGTTGTCTCTATTGTTCCCTGACAGTGCCTGGGGAGACCACCTCTTCCTCTACTTTCTTTGGTTTTACTGATTTTAGAGAGAAAAGAAGGGAAAAGGAGAGAGGGAAATGCACATTGATCAGTTGCCTCCTGCTTACTGGGGGTCGAGCCCATAACCCAGGCATGCGCCCTGATAAGGAATCAAACCAGCGACCTCTTGGTGCATGGGATGATGCTCAACCAACTGAGCTACCCAGCCAGGGCTCTTAGTGTTTTTGCTGTTATTGCTGTTACCCAATAATTGACACATGGAGTACCTTCTTCTTTCACAATGTTTTGTGGCTTCAACAGTGCTACCCAGATTTCCTTGAGAAAGATCAAGCCTAGACACTCAGCTGCCATTTCTCATACCTCATATTATGTGCTTAAAATGTGACACAGCACGCAAGAATGCATGCCAAGTCTTGCAAAGCAGATTCCGGTTTAACAGCCATGAAAATGCATACTGTTTACAATCCCGGGTTTAAAACCCACACAATTGTTTTTCCTTTCCCCTAGGAAAAGGACACATTCATTGTCTGGCTTATGAGAATCTCCTGACCTGTATCTCTTTTACTTCCCCAACCTCACCACCCAGGCAACAACTTGAGAGCTTCTTTTAGTTCCTTGTTAACAGCATATATTCTGGCTTTCTCTTTAAGCTTTTGCATATATGCACAGAAAACTGTCTCCAGGCCCTCAGGTCTTTCTCCCACCAATCCCATTAAGCTTCTTCCTGCTCATAAGTCAAATTGGAGTTCAAAAGCCCTTCTAGGTGGCTTTACTTAAACTGTGACCTACATTAGGCTGCCTTTGTCTGCTCCTGTAGCATCCTGTAATTTTCTTCTCCTTATACTTGTCTTCCTCACGTGTACGTGTTTGTTAGTCTTTCTGTTTTCCATAACTGATCACAGTCTCTGTAGGACAGGACCGCAAGTCTATCTTTCGGAACTTGAACAGTGCCTGACACTTATGGGGCCATCGACGAATATTTGTTGATTTCATAAATAAAGGAGATTTGGGTACCATCAGCCTTTAGATTACCCATAGGAATTTTGAGAAATGGAGTGGTGAATAAGGACGGTTTTTGATGGAAAGTAATGTTCCAGTGAAGAGATTTCCACTTTTATTCTTAAAAATAGGTACAGGAAAAGGTGTGATTTGAGATTTTCTAGAATGGTGGCCCTGGTCTGAAGGAGGCCCCACACAACTAATCCCTGGGCAATTCTTCCCTAGCATTTCTCCTGGACACAAGGTGCAGCTGGGGACCCAGATTTGGGATCCATATCTTCTCTCTGGTGAAGGAGAACCAAAGCTCCAAATATTGTTTTCCTTCAGGCATGTCACTCTTAGTGGCAAGATAAGTCCTTAAGGTTTTAGTTATTCATCAAAACTTTCTTAGATTTAAACATTTTCAGGATTCCTCCTTTTGCCCTAACTTGTTTCTCTTTTCTAAGAATTCAAATCTCGCTTAGTTCCTTGGGAACTATGTTGTGCATTTTATTTATATCCAAGACAGATCATAAAGCTAATGTGTATTATGTAACCCACTTAAAACCAGAGCGGTTCTTTGATGTTTCTATTCAGAGAGCACGTACTCATCTTACTGGTAAGTTTTCTTATATTATCCAAGAGAGTGTCATCAAGGGAACATATACTTTACGTTGGTATACAACTTGGAGGTACTGCCTCAACAAGTCTGGCTCTAATGATAAAAGGCACAGTTTAGTATTAGTTACATATAGATTTTTAAATATCTCTTTTGAGCCCACCCTGAGAAGCTTATCATCCATCCATTTATTCATCTACCTACCACCCACAGACATGTCCTTCTACCAGTATATAATGGGCATTAAAAGTAATTTGGGCCCTGGCTTGTTTGCTCAGTGGTTAGAGCACTGGCCCACAGACCAGAGTCATGGGTTTGATTCCAGTCAAGGGCATGTACCTCGGTTGTGGTTCAGTCCCTGGACCTGGTCAGGGTGGTGGGGGAGGCAACCAATCAATGTCTCTCTCTCACATAGATGTTTTTCTCTCTCTCTGTCCTTCCCACTCTACCTGAACATAGGTAAAATAATCCTCAGGTGAGGATTAAAAAATAAAAATAAATATTTTGGGCTAGGAATTGTAAATGCTATTATAAAATTTATAAGAATGTCCCCAGTGAGATGGCTCAGTGGATTAAAGTGTCATCCTGGACACCAAAAAGATTGCAGGTTTGATTCCCAGTCAGGGCATGTGCCTGAGTTGTAGATTTGGTCCCCAGCTGGGCACCTATGAGAGGCAGTCAATCAGTGTTTCTCACATCGACGTCTCTCTCTCCCCCTTACTCTCTTTCTACACACACACACACACACACACACACACACACACGCACATGACAAGAGACAACATTTCTTCTCTCTATTGAGAGCTTATAGACTGGCAGAGGGGTAAAAAAATCTATGTAAATCACATTATCAAAGAAAAATTACTAGAAAAAATGACTCTGAGTTTGAGCAATACAGGTGAATTCTGTAAATTCTTGGGGTAAGAGAAATATTTTGGGTCAAATGTATGAGAGTTCTGCCACAGCAATTTTCGTCCCTGGAAGTGTCTTTTTGCTTTCTACCTAGGAAGGTGTGTTTTTCCCTTTTATCCTTTCCAAAGACGCGTGATTTCCTTGGTCAAGGAGGCC